CAAGGCCCGAGTAGCTCCCACTGGGTGAGAAAGGACGTCCAAAGAATGTGCAATGCAAGTTGCGGCAACTTGTTGAAACCAGGCCCAAAGTCCAAAGGCAGCCTATTTCCTGCGGCGTGACAAGTATAGCCGGGAACCGTGCTGGGAGCCGCATGGGAAGCCCAAGAGGCTGCAATGCAGTCGGGCAAGCTTGGCAGGTGAAGCATTCCACCTGAGGTTGTGAGCTGGGACCTTGCAATACCCTCTTTGGGTGGCCTTCAGGTGGTGCCATGCTGGACTTTGCGCTGGCCTCTATGGGAACCTGCCGTGTTTCCTCTTAATTGGTGCTGTTTCTTTCCAGCCACGGCAGCTGGCAAGTTGACGGCATTTGGATATTGAAAGGCCCTTCCAGCATGGTAATTAGTTCCTTCATGAATCACCTGGTTTGCGTCTGCCCAGTCCAAGGGCACAACAAATGGCTGACAGTGTGTGCGAGACTGTCGTGGCCGCGGGAGTCCCAAAGGCATTGCCATCAGGGGCGGGCAGCCTTCCTGGGCGAGCTCAACATTATATTCAACCTCTGGGCGCGATTCCAATCCCAACAGAAAGTTGCGCACTGGGATGCCGTCTCCCGGAAGAGACCTGAAAAGAGGAAGTGGCCTTTTATTAGTCGGGATACAACCCGAATTCTTGTAAGACAATCCATGGTCCGGGAAGGGACAAAACCATAACAAGCGTTCAGCTGGACAGTGGACATATCAGGCAAAGCCACAAGCTACGGGTAGGCCCCTGGTGATTTGCAGCGGGGCAGTGATGTCCAGGTTTTCAGGGCTTGGTATGAAAGTCATTCTCTCAAGGTGTGTGATTCGGTTGGGCCTTGAACTCGGCCCTGGGTCGCGGAGGGCTTTGTGTGGCATTGTCGTGTTTCCCTTCCAAATAGGCGAAATGAGAGAATAATCGCTGTGTTACAGCGGGACTGACCGCGTCCAAAGCGCTGCGATGCTTCATTTGCTCGAATGAGGCTGAGCACCTGTGTAACAGAGACCTTCCGTAGGCACTTTCAATCCAAATCACCAACGATGCAGGCTGGCATTGAGATTTTGTGCCGACGCGCAGCTGGCGCAGGCCGTCATGCATGGTACGCATGGAATTGTCTTTCAATCTTCAGCTGAAGCCTTCCTTGCGACCTTTTTCCGGAGGCTTTACATTTCAGATCTCCAGCCTTCTTGGACCCTCTTGCGCTATGCGAGCCTCCGCGGTCTGAAATATCAAGCCGAGGGCCCAAAGTCAACCTCCTCGCTGAGTGGCAAGGTGTTCTTTGTGCAAGGTGTGTGATTCGGGCCACTGCGCCGAACTCGCAGACGGTCAGATTTTGAAGACTTTCTGTCAACGCTGGGCCGCGCAATTTGCATGCCGGGGTCAGCACAGCTGTGACCTGAGCATTTGCTGAGTAGCAATCACGGCGAACAACGGCTGGCTGCAGCGGCGTGGGTAGCTTGTAAAGCCCCAGTCCATGGCGCGTCGACCGTGATATCAGGCGGGCAGGAGCTCATCCATGCTGGATGTGACGCGAGCTCAGCTCCGCCTTATTTCCCATTTTCCCTGATACGGTGCATTTTGTTTGGGGGTAAGGCCATTGACAGTTTCGTGATGCCCCAAACGCCTGTCAAGCTTGTTGGCGAGGTATTTCAATCAATCAAAGAGTTGTAGCCGCAACAACTGCGACAGTGCTTAGAGCAAATTTCGTGAACCAGAATGGAGGGCCACCAAGAGGGTACGTGCCAAAAACACCTAGAACTGTCACTTTGCTATCTCCCTTGGCTTTGGCGCGACGCCGGTCCAAGTCTGCTCAAGAACCAAAGCAAACAAAAAGCAGCAGCCGACCCACTTTGCCTTCGCCTTTGGCTGATGCGACGCTGATTGAAGTCGATTTCAGAGCCAAAGCAAATAAGAAACAACCCACAAAAATCCGCAAAAGGTCAACATAGCTCCCACTGGCTTAGAAAGAACTTCATAGGATGTGCAATGCAAGTGGCGACAACTTGTTGAATCCAGGCCCAAAGTCCAAAGGCAGCCTATTCACTGCGGTGTAATAAGTATAGCCCGGAACCGTGCTTGGAGCCGCATGGGAAGCCCAAGAGGCTGTACGCAGTCGGGTAAGCTTGGCAGGTGAAGCATTCCACCTGAAGTAGTTGTGAGCTGGGACCTTGCAATATCCTCCCTTGGTAGCCTTTTGGTTCAAAGCCGAAGCTTGTTTTGCGGAGCCTTGATGGATCGTTCAGGTGGCGCCAGACTGGGCTTTGCGCTAGCCTCTATGGGAACCCACTGTGTTTCCTCTTAATTGGTGCAGTTTCTTTCCAGCCGCGGCAGCTGGCAAGTTGACGGCATGTTGATATTGAAGCGCCCTTCCACCATGGTAGTTCTTTCATGAATCATCCAGTTTGCCGGGTGTGCCCAGTCCCATGATGCTGACCAAATGGCAGGTCTTGGCTATCTCGCAGAGGGGCAGTGATGTCAAGGTCCCAGCTTGAGCTGCAAAGTGTCGACGTTACCCGGAAGAGACGTGGAACAGGGAAGTGGCCTTTGATTAGTTGGGCTACAACAATCGCGAGTCCTGGAAGGGACAAAACCAAAGCAATCTTTCAGCTTGACAGTTACCATTTTAGGCAAAGCTTAACCCATGTGAGTCAGCGTCAAAGCTCATCTCTGCCAACCGTTTGGTCTTGCCCCGCCCAGCTTAAGACTGCAAGCTTGTTGCGCCTGGCCTGCCGAGAGCCCAAAGTCAACCTCCTCGCTGAGGGGCAAGGTGTTCTTTGTGCAAGGTGTGTGATTCGGGCCACTGCGCCGAACTTGCAGACGGTCGGATTTTGAAGACTTTCTGTCAGCGCTGGGCCGCGCAGTTTGCGTGCCGGAGTCAGCACAGCTGTGACCTGAGCATTTGGTGTGCAGCAATCACGGCGAACAACGGCTGGCTGCAGCGGCGTGGGTAGCTTAGAAGGCACCAGTCCATGTGTCGACCGTGATATCAGGTGGGCAGGAGCTCACCCATGCTGGATGTGACGCGAGCTCAGCTCCGCCTTATTTCCCATTTTCCCTGATACGGTGCATTTTGTTTGGGGGTAAGGCCATTGACAGTTTCGGGGTAAGGCCATACGCCTGTCAAGCTTGTTGGTATTTCAATGAATCAAGGACTTGTAGCCGCAACAACTGCGACAGAGCTTAGAGCAAATTTCGTGAACCAATTTGGAGGGCCACCAAGAGTGTACGTGCCAAAAACACCTAGAACTGTCACTTTGCTATCTCCCTTGGCTTTGGCGCGACGCCGGTCCAAGTCTGCTCAAGAACCAAAGCAAACAAAAAGCAGCAGTCGACCCACTTTGCCTTCGGCTTTGGCTGATGCGACGCTGATTGAAGTCGATTTCAGAGCCAAAGCAAATAAGAAACAACCCACAAAAATCCGCAAAAGGTCAACATAGCTCCCACTGGCTTAGAAAGAACTTCATAGGATGTGCAATGCAAGTTGCAGCAACTTGTTGAATCCAGGCCCAAAGTCCAAAGGCAGCCTATTTCCTGCGGTGTAACAAGTATAGCCGGGAACAGTGCTGGGAGCCGCATGGGAAGCTCAAGAGGCTGCAACGCAGTCCGGCAAGCTTGGCAGGTGAAGCATTCCACCTGAGGTTGTGAGCTGGGACCTTGCCATATGTTTCTGGTTGCCTTCTGGTTGAAAGCCGAAGCTTGTTTTGCGGAACGTTGATGGATCGTTCAGGTGGCGCCAGACTGGACTTTGCGCTAGCGTCTATGGGAACTTTCTAGCCGCGGCAGCTGGCAAGTTGACGGCATGTTGATATTGAAGGGGCTTTCCACCATGGTAGTTCTTTCATGAATCATCCAGTTTGCCGGGTGTGCCCAGTCCCATGATGCTGAGCAAATGGCAGGTCTTGGCTATATCGCAGAGGGGCAGTGATGTCAAGGTCCCAGCTTGAGCTGCAAAGTGTCAACTTTTCCCGGAAGAGACGTGAAACAGGGAAGTGGCCTTTGATTAGTTGGGCTACAACCCGTTTTCTTGTGAGTCCGCGTCAAAGCGCATCTCTACCGACCGTTTGGTCTTGCCCCGCACAGCTTAAGCTTTTGCGCCTGGCTGCAACTGGGCTTTGACTTCTCCCATGAAATGCAGCGGGCCAGTGATGTCCAGGTTTGCAGGGCTTGGTATCAAAGTCATTCTCTCAAGGTGTGTGATTTGGTTGGGCCTTGAACTCGGCCCTGGGTCGCGGAGGGCTTGGTGTGGCGTTGTCGTGTTTCCCTTCCAAATAGGCGAAATGAGAGAGTAATCGCTGTCTTACAGGGGGACTGACCGCGTCCAAAGCGCTGCGATGCTTCATTTGCTCGAATGAGGCTGAGCACCTGTGTAACAGAGACCTTCCGTAGGCACTTTCAATCCAAAGCACCAACGATGCAGGCTGGCATTGAGATTTTGTGCCGACGCGCAGTTGGCGCAGGCCGTCATGCATGGTACGCGTGGAACTGTCTTTTAATCTTCAGCTGAAGCCTTCCTTGCGACTTTTTCAGCAGGCTTTGCCTTTCAGAGCTCCAGCCTGCTTGGGCCCTCTTGCGCTATGCAAGCCTCCGCGTTCTGAAATATCGGGCCTGCCGAGAGACCAAAGTCAACCTCCTCGCTGAGGGGCAAGGTGTTCTTTGTGCAAAGTGTGTGATTCGGGCCACTGCGCCGAACTCGCAGACGGTCGGATTTTGAAGACTTTCTGTCAGCGCTGGGCCGCGCAGTTTGCGTGCCGGAATCAGCACAGCTGTGACCTGAGCATTTGGTGAGCAGCAATCACGGCGAACAACGGCTGGCTGCAGCGGCGTGGGTAGCTTAGAAGGCACCAGTCCATGTGTCGACCGTGATATCAGGTGGGCAGGAGCTCACCCATGCTGGATGTGACGCGAGCTCAGCTCCGCCTTATTTCCCATTTTCCCTGATACGGTGCATTTTGTTTGGGGGTAAGGCCATTGACAGTTTCGTGATGCCCCAAACGCCTGTCAAGCTTGTTGGTATTTCAATGAATCAAAGACTTGTAGCCGCAACAACTGCGACAGAGCTTAGAGCAAAATTCGTGAACCAGAATGGAGGGCCACCAAGAGTGTACGTGCCAAAAACAGCTAGAACTGTCACTGTGGCGTCGCCCTTGGCTTTGGCGCGACGCCGGTCCAAGTCTGCTCAAGAACCAAAGCAAATAACACGCAGCAGCCGACCCACTTTGCCTTCGCCTTTGGCTGATGCGGCGCTGATTGAAGTCGATTTCAGAGCCAACGCAAACAAGAAACAACAGCTCTACCCACCACAATCCGCACAAGGCTCGAGTAGATTCCACTGGCTTAGAAAGGACTGCAAAGAATGTGCAATGCAAGTGGCGACAACTTGTTGAATCCAGGCCCAAAGTCCAAAGGCAGCCTATTCACTGCGGTGTAATAAGTATAGCCCGGAACCGTGCTTGGAGCCGCATGGGAAGCCCAAGAGGCTGTACGCAGTCGGGTAAGCTTGGCAGGTGAAGCATTCCACCTGAAGTAGTTGTGAGCTGGGACCTTGCAATATCCTCCCTTGGTAGCCTTTTGGTTCAAAGCCGAAGCTTGTTTTGCGGAGCCTTGATGGATCGTTCAGGTGGCGCCAGACTGGGCTTTGCGCTAGCCTCTATGGGAACCCACTGTGTTTCCTCTTAGTTGGTGCAGTTTCTTTCCAGCCGCGGCAGCTGGCAAGTTGACGGCATGTTGATATTGAAGCGCCCTTCCACCATGGTAGTTCTTTCATGAATCATCCAGTTTGCCGGGTGTGCCCAGTCCCATGATGCTGACCAAATGGCAGGTCTTGGCTATCTCGCAGAGGGGCAGTGATGTCAAGGTCCCAGCTTGAGCTGCAAAGTGTCGACGTTACCCGGAAGAGACGTGGAACAGGGAAGTGGCCTTTGATTAGTTGGGCTACAACAATCGCGAGTCCTGGAAGGGACAAAACCAAAGCAATCTTTCAGCTTGACAGTTACCATTTTAGGCAAAGCTTAACCCATGTGAGTCAGCGTCAAAGCTCATCTCTGCCAACCGTTTGGTCTTGCCCCGCACAGCTTAAGACTGCAAGCTTGTTGCGCCTGGCCTGCCGAGAGCCCAAAGTCAACCTCCTCGCTGAGGGGCAAGGTGTTCTTTGTGCAAGGTGTGTGATTCGGGCCACTGCGCCGAACTTGCAGACGGTCGGATTTTGAAGACTTTCTGTCAGCGCTGGGCCGCGCAGTTTGCGTGCCGGAGTCAGCACAGCTGTGACCTGAGCATTTGGTGTGCAGCAATCACGGCGAACAACGGCTGGCTGCAGCGGCGTGGGTAGCTTAGAAGGCACCAGTCCATGTGTCGACCGTGATATCAGGTGGGCAGGAGCTCACCCATGCTGGATGTGACGCGAGCTCAGCTCCGCCTTATTTCCCATTTTCCCTGATACGGTGCATTTTGTTTGGGGGTAAGGCCATTGACAGTTTCGGGGTAAGGCCATACGCCTGTCAAGCTTGTTGGTATTTCAATGAATCAAGGACTTGTAGCCGCAACAACTGCGACAGAGCTTAGAGCAAATTTCGTGAACCAATTTGGAGGGCCACCAAGAGTGTACGTGCCAAAAACACCTAGAACTGTCACTTTGCTATCTCCCTTGGCTTTGGCGCGACGCCGGTCCAAGTCTGCTCAAGAACCAAAGCAAACAAAAAGCAGCAGCCGACCCACTTTGCCTTCGCCTTTGGCTGATGCGACGCTGATTGAAGTCGATTTCAGAGCCAACGCAAACAAGAAACAACAGCCGAACTGCAACAATCCACACAAGGCCCGAGTAGCTCCCACTGGGTGAGAAAGGACGTCCAAAGAATGTGCAATGCAAGTTGCGGCAACTTGTTGAATCCAGGCCCAAAGTCCAAAGGCAGCCTATTCACTGCGGTGTAATAAGTATAGCCCGGAACCGTGCTTGGAGCCGCATGGGAAGCCCAAGAGGCTGTACGCAGTCGGGTAAGCTTGGCAGGTGAAGCATTCCACCTGAAGTAGTTGTGAGCTGGGACCTTGCAATATCCTCCCTTGGTAGCCTTTTGGTTCAAAGCCGAAGCTTGTTTTGCGGAGCCTTGATGGATCGTTCAGGTGGCGCCAGACTGGGCTTTGCGCTAGCCTCTATATGGGAACCCACTGTGTTTCCTCTTAATTGGTGCAGTTTCTTTCCAGCCGGGGCAGCTGGCAAGTTGACGGCATGTTGATATTGAAGCGCCCTTCCACCATGGTAGTTCTTTCATGAATCATCCAGTTTGCCTGGTGTGCCCAGTCCCATGATGCTGACCAAATGGCAGGTCTTGGCTATATCGCAGAGGGGGAGTGATGTCCCAGCTCACCTCTACCAACCGTTTGGGCTTGTCGTGCACAGCTGCAGACCGGCGGGCTAAAGCCCCACAAGCTGTTGCGCCTGGCTGCCAATTGGGTGTGACCGCTTCCATGATTCTGACCAACGGCAAGTCTTTGGTCACGGGTGATGTCAAGGTCACAGCTTGACTTGCAATGTGTCGACGTTTCCCGGAAGAGACATGAAACGAGGAAGTCGCCTTTGAGTAGTTGGGCTACAACCCGTTTTCTTGTAAGGCAATCACAAGTCCTGGAAGGGACAAAACCAAAACAATCTTTCAGCTTGACTGCCGACATCTTGGGCAAAGCCACAAGGTCAGAGTCAAAACTGCTCTGCTGCAGGGCAGAAGATCGGATAGTGCAGACTTGTTTGTCAACGCTGGATCATGCTTAACCCATGTGAGTCCGCGTTAAAGCTCACCTCTACCAACCGTTTGGGCTTGTCGCAGCTGCAGACCGACGGGCTAAAGCCCCACAAGCTGTTCGCCTGGCTGCCAATTGGGTGTGACCGCTTCCATGATTCTGACCAACGGCAAGTCTTTGGTCACGGGTGATGTCAAGGTCACAGCCAGACATGCAATGTGTCGACGTTTCCCGGAAGAGACGTGAAACGAGGAAGTGGCCTTTGATTATTTGGGCTAGAACCCGTTTTCTCGTAAGACAATTGCGAGTCCTGGAAGGGACAAAACCAAAGCAATCTTTCAGCTTGACTGCCGACATCTTAGGCAAAGCCACAAGGTCAAAGTCAAAACTGCTCTGCTGCAGGGCAGAAGATCGGATAGTGCAGACTTGTTTGTCAACGCTGGATCATGCTTAACTCATGTGAGTCCGCGTTAAAGCTCACCTCTACCAACCGTTTGGGCTTGTCGCAGCTGCAGACCGACGGGCTAAAGCCCCACAAGCTGTTCGCCTGGCTGCCAATTGGGTGTGACCGCTTCCATGATTCTGACCAACGGCAAGTCTTTGGTCACGGGTGATGTCAAGGTCACAGCTTGACTTGCAATGTGTCGACGTTTCCCGGAAGAGACATGAAACGAGGAAGTCGCCTTTGAGTAGTTGGGCTACAACCCGTTTTCTTGTAAGGCAATCACAAGTCCTGGAAGGGACAAAACCAAAACAATCTTTCAGCTTGACTGCCGACATCTTGGGCAAAGCCACAAGGTCAAAGTCAAAACTGCTCTGCTGCAGGGCAGAAGATCGGATAGTGCAGACTTGTTTGTCAACGCTGGATCATGCTTAACCCATGTGAGTCCGCGTTAAAGCTCACCTCTACCAACCGTTTGGGCTTGTCGCAGCTGCAGACCGACGGGCTAAAGCCCCACAAGCTGTTCGCCTGGCTGCCAATTGGGTGTGACCGCTTCCATGATTCTGACCAACGGCAAGTCTTTGGTCACGGGTGATGTCAAGGTCACAGCCAGACATGCAATGTGTCGACGTTTCCCGGAAGAGACGTGAAACGAGGAAGTGGCCTTTGATTATTTGGGCTAGAACCCGTTTTCTTGTAAGACAATTGCGAGTCCTGGAAGGGACAAAACCAAAGCAATCTTTCAGCTTGACTGCCGACATCTTAGGCAAAGCCACAAGGTCAAAGTCAAAACTGCTCTGCTGCAGGGCAGAAGATCGGATAGTGCAGACTTGTTTGTCAACGCTGGATCATGCCTAACCCATGTGAGTCCGCGTCAAAGCTCACCTCTACCAACCGTTTGGGCTTGTTGTGCACAGCTGCAGACGGGCTAAAGCAGTGCAAGCTGTTGCGCCTGGCTGCCAATTGGGTGTGACCGCTTCCATGATTCTGACCAACGGCAAGTCTTTGGTCACGGGTGATGTCAAGGTCACAGCTTGACTTGCAATGTGTCGACGTTTCCCGGAAGAGACCTGAAAAGAAGAAGTGGCCTTTGAGTAGTTGGGCTACAGCCCGTTTTCATGTAAGACAATCACAAGTCCTGGAAGGGACAAAACCAAAGCAATCTTTCAGCTTGACTGCCGACATCTTGGGCAAAGCCACAAGGTCAAAGTCAAAACTGCTCTGCTGCAGGGCAGAAGATCGGATAGTGCAGATGTTTTTGTCAACGCTGGATCATGCTCAATCCATGTGAGTCCGCGTCAAAGTTCGCCTTTACTAACCATTTGGGCTTGTCGTGCACAGCTGCAGACCGACGGGCTAAAGCAGTACAAGCTTTTGCGCCTGGCTGCTAAAGCAGTACAAGCTGCTGCGCCTGGCTGCCAATTGGGTGTGACCGCTTCCATGATTCTGACCAACGGCAAGTCTTTGGTCACGGGTGATGTCAAGGTCACAGCCAGACATGCAATGTGTCGACGTTTCCCGGAAGAGACGTGAAACGAGGAAGTGGCCTTTGATTAGTTGGTCTACATCCCGTTTTCTTGTGAAACAATGGCAAGTCCTGGAAGGGACAAAACCAAAGCAATGTTTCAGCGTGACCGTTGACATCTTAGGCCAAGCCAGAAGGTCAAAGTCAAAACTGCTCTGCTGCAGGGCAGAAGATCGGATAGTGCAGACTTGTTTGTCAACGCTGGATCATGCCTAACCCATGTGAGTCCGCGTCAAAGCTCACCTCTACCAACCGTTTGGGCTTGTCGCAGCTGCAGACCGACGGGCTAAAGCAGTGCAAGCTGTTGCGCCTGGCTGCCAATTGGGTGTGACCGCTTCCATGATTCTGACCAACGGCAAGTCTTTGGTCACCGGTGATGTCAAGGTCACAGCTAGACATGCAATGTGTCGACGTTTCCCGGAAGAGACGTGAACCGAGGAAGTGGCCTATGTTTAGTTGGGCTACAACCCGTTTTCTTGTAAGACAACCACAAGTCCTGGAAGGGACAAACCCAAAGCAATCTTTCAGCTTGACTGCCGACATCTTGGGCAAAGCCACAAGGTCAAAGTCAAAACTGCTCTGCTGCAGGGCAGAAGATCGGATAGTGCAGACTTGTTTGTCAACGCTGCATCATGCCTAACCCATGTGAGTCCGCGTCAAAGCTCACCTCTACCAACCGTTTGGGCTTGTTGTGCACAGCTGCAGACGGGCTAAAGCAGTGCAAGCTGTTGCGCCTGGCTGCCAATTGGGTGTGACCGCTTCCATAAAAAGCTGTTGCAGAGAGGCAGGGGCGTCAAGAAGGTCCCAGCTCGATCTGCAATGTGCGACATTGCCTGTTTGACGGTATTGGACTTTGGTTATTCGCAGAGAGGCAGTGGTGTCAAATTTCCAACCTGACTACCTGCGAGAAGGTCGTCAAGAGCTTCTGTCCCAACATCAGCTTGTTTTGCGCAATGCCCTTAGCAAAAGTTCCGAGTGCGTGCCTTTGCGCGGCAGACAACAAGTCGGCAGATCCAAGAACTTGTTCAGTCGTGACTTGGCTATTGCAACTGACTGTGCAAGACCAGGATGACTCAACTTTCTGAACTCGTAGCTCCCAACGGCAAGAGCAGCGAAGTCAGCTCGGAGGCGACAAAACCGATCGAGCTGTGAGCCTTGCGCACGTGGCCTTCCGCTAACGTGGATGTGGCAGATTGGGTCGCCAATTGCTCGTGGCTCGGTGGCCTGCGCAGATGCAGCGTTGAGCGACGGCAGATTTGCGAGCATGGCTGGGCCAGGCATTGCCAGATCTCAGAATCGTGTGTTGCCTGTCCGCAGCATGGCGCAACAGATCTGGGCGCAGCGGCTCAGCCAAATTGCATCCCATGCCAGCTGCACAGTTTGGGCAGGATTTGCGAGAAGGGGGCGTCCACCAGCCTGTCTCACCGACGCAAGCAGCGTCTACTAGGGGAGTTTTGGACTGGGCTTTGAGGCAAGCGGCGTGGGATCTGGGGCCCTATATCGAGGCTGCCTATCGGCCGATCGTCAGCGCCTATTGTCAAAACGGCACATCCGAGTTCTTTTGGGACCTACCTTCTTTACAACAATCATGGAAGTGGATAGGGGCTTCCCCAAAAGGAAAGTAGTCTTGCAAAATTCTCGTGTCAGCTTCACTTACTGGTTGCTTTGTCGACGGCTAGATTTGGGCAATAAACTTGGTTAGGTTTTGCTTTGATTATGTACTCAAGGCCTCTAACATGTTCATTTTAAGCAACTCAGCAGGCCTTTGCCCAGTTGTTTTCAAGCCAGGCCAACTCAAGCCACCAACTAGGGGTACAGTGAGAAAGGGTCACTGAAGGCTTTTGGCTTTCTGAGCGCACGGCGCGTCAACAGGTCGCCAAAGATGGGCTGAGCTTCGCAACCAGCTTGCTCGTAAGCGCTGGGCCCAGCAGGAATAAACGCTGCGTGGGGAGAAGCGGCTGGCTGCAGCGATTCAATGTAGGCGCGCCGTGCGCGCGGCGTGCGCGGCTTTTTTGGTGAGGCGGGATAGGTGTAAGGCGACCAGGTTTCTCTCCCTCTCTCTCCCTCTCTCTCCCTCTCTCTCCCTCTCTCTCCCTCTCTCTCCCTCTCTCTCCCTCTCTCTCCCTCTCTCTCCCTC